ATATGCTGCAATTCTTGTGGGACGGCACTGGAGCAATGGTTGAATGGAAAAAAGGCATCTATGCCTTTTGCTGTGCCAATGATTTGGAGAGAGCCAACAGATCATGTTAGTAATTGTTACTTTTGTATGGTGCCTCCAATTGTAAAAGGGCTAAATAAGAAGAAAAAGTTATCTGTGCACTATCCAAATATTCCATCGGCAATACGTCCAGTTCCTCATGGAGAGGGGCTACCAATTCCTAAAGCACCAGAATCCTTTCATGGTTGAGTCAAGTGAGGAAGAACCTGAAGCGTGTAGTCACGTGCAGTTGTAAGAGATAGCCCTTTCCTCGAATACAAGAGAAAAGCAAAGAGAAGCAAAACCGACACAAACTGAAGACAAAACTAGTGAGAATCCTAAGTATTAAAATGATTCAACTTAGCTTATGGCTATAATTTTTCTTGGTAATCCTATGCAATATATTATGCCATTTAGGCTTTGTTATGTAGTCAATATCACTTGCTTTATATTTGTGGAAAGACATCTATCTATATAATTATTGTGCATTATGTAGTCATTACACCTATAGTAGAAAACTTTCAGTTTACAGAAAAACTAGAGCCAATTGACAAATTTCATTGTTATATTTGAACTCAGAATGTGAAATTCATTAAGAAATGGATCCTTTTGTTTCCAAAACTGGCAAAAAATAAAAATTTGTTGAACAGGGTAATCAGAAGACAAGGGGCGTGGCCCCTCCTCCCGTACGTGTTACGTCCTGAGCGAGACTTCGTTAGCAGGAACCCATGTCTCTGATGTCTCCCGCGGCTCTGTTTGGATCGGCTGCATGCCGCTGTATCAAGAACACACTTTTATGCACTGTGCCACTTTTGTGAGTGTAATTTTACTTTTATAGCTACAATACATTTTGATAGCAGAGAGCACTATGCGTTTTTTTACTTTTGTGATGACATATCCTTGTGAATACATCACAAGTTTGTGAGAAAGCAGGAGATTCCACATCCGGTTTGGTCCCCAAGGAGGAAAAGCGTATGATTTTCCTGATTGCTCAGGGGTCATATCGGTAAGATGAGCGGCCATAGTTACCTTTGTTGGTGGGACAGAGCACCTCTACACTTGGATGTATGAATGTGACCATCAGTTTGAATCGCTGGACTATTCTATTGTCTTCTGATTATTAACAGTGATTTATGGAATCTCTGTCTGATTTAATTGTATTTTGATGTATTTGCCTACTATTGCGCTGCAATTTATGTGTTTTTTAACCAAGATTTATATGCCTGGGTTATCTCTGAGCCAGAATCTCAGTCCAGGAAGTGGATGGTGGCCCTGGATGATGCCTGAACAAAGATGGTTCTGTCCTTCTGGGAGAGAAAAGCAGATGAAGGCCTTGTCAGGGGGCGTACTGTGATCTCTGTGAGAGTTCATTATTTCCTGGGAGTGTTACATTGACCAGGGGCGGACTGACAACTCATGGGGCCCCCGGGCAATAGGGGATCATGGGGCCCCTGTGTCCTTGCCCAAACTCAAAAAAGCCTATGAAAAAGGTACCGGGGAATATCATGGGGCCCCCTACTGACCCCGGGCCCTCGGGCAGTGCCTGAGTTTCCAAATGGTCAGTCCGCCCCTGACATTGACACATTACTGAGCATACATTCAAATATAATTGATGCTGGGACCAGTGGTGTATTTAGGTTTCATACTGCCCTAGGCAACAAAATAATTGGCTCCCCCCCCTTCCTGGAGAGACCCTGACACCAACTAACATCCCTCTCCCCCACAAAGAGACCCTAACATTGACCAACAAGACCCCAGCCCCCACCCTCGCCCGAGAGAGCCTTCCACTACCACCACCCCCCATACACTGGCAACCCCACCCCAGCAAGAGAGAAGACCCTCACCTTCACAGCTCCGGACATCCCGGGAACAAGAGTCAGGCTCTGCATACACCATCAAGCAGCCTGCAGCCTCTTTTAGGTCCCACCTGGTCCCCATGCTGCGTGTGTCCCTTCTTCTATCCCTTATTTTGGAGGCGGCGCTGCCCCCCTGAAAAATGCCGCCCTAGCCAAATGCCTTGTTTGTCTTGTGGTAAATACGTCCCTGCATTGACCTCCTGATCTGAAATTTCAGCTGGTGTGCAGTGGATGTTGCAAAGTAATATTAGCCCTTTTGGGGGGGGGGAGGCGGCGCTGCCCCTCTTAAAAATGCCACCCTGGGCAAATGCCTTGTGGTAAATATGCCTCTGTATTGACCTCCTGATCTGAAATTTCAGCTGGTGTGCAGTGGGTGATGCAAAGTAATATTAGACCTTTCGGGGGGGGGGGGGATGCTGCCCCCCCTGAAAAATGCCGCCATAGGCAAATGCCTTGTTTGCCTTGTGGCAAATACGCCCCTTGCTGGGACCGCTCTATTAGTTGGTATCAGCGTACCTGGTCTAGGAACTTGCTTCCCTCCATATACCAGTGTGGCTCCCTCTTTCATGCCAATTTCGCAATATTCGAGGAGTTTATCCAAATGGGCTTTGTGATTCTGAGGGCCGTGGTCTGTAGACCTGTCCAGAGGGTCCCCGATCTTCATCTTCTTCACCTCTTCAACCTGGAAAGAAAAAACATGGAATTGGGATCTGTTGATTTGATGTGCATATGTCAAATGCATGCATACAACACCCATGTACATGGGGCCTAAGGGCCTAGCCACACTTGTGTGTTCAGTTTCAGTGGATTAATACACTCACATTAACATGCATTGCATTGAGGCAGCATTGCATTTTTATATAGCGCCAACAGTGTGAGCAGTGTCTCAGTGATTTATGTGATGGGTCCAGACTTCAGACTGCTTTTATTATTACTATTGTTGTTATTATTATACAGGATTTATATATCACCAACAGTTTGTTCAGCGCTTTGCAAAATGAAGGTAGACAGTTACAATACAATTTGGTACAAGAGGAAGCAGAGGGACGGCTCGTTAGAGCTTACAATCTAGGAGGGAGGGTGGAGTGATACAAAAGGTAATAGCTGTGGGGGGGATGAGCTGATGGAGGAAATACATGGCGGTTTACTAGGTAGAAGCAGGATAGACTTCTTTAAAGAGAAGAGAACTCAGGGATAGTCTAAAGGTGGATAGATTAGGAGATAGTTGGACAGATTGGGGTAGGGAGTTCCATAGGATGGGAGAAGTTCGGGAGAAGTCTTGGAGGCAAGCGTGAAAGGAAGTGACAGGGGAACTAGAGAGCAGAAGGTCTTGGGAAGATCGAAGAGAGCGGTTTGGTTGATATTTTGAGACCAGGTTGGTGATGTAGCTGGGGGGCAGAGTTGTGGATGGCTTTGTAAGTTGTTGTTAGTACTTTGAATTTTATTAGTTGGGTGAGTGGAAGCCAGTGGAGGGATTGGCAGAGAGGGGGGGGCACTGATTGGAGGTCAGTAGAGGGATTGGCAGAGAGGGGTGGAGGACACTGATTGGAGGCCAGTGGAGGGATTGGCAGAGAGGGGGGGAGGACACTGATTGGAGGCCAGTGGAGGGATTGGCAGAGAGGGGTGGGGAGGACACTGAGTGGCAGCCAGTGGAGGGATTGGCAGAGAGGGGGGGAGGACACAGATTTGAGGTCAGTGGAGGGATTGGCAGAGAGGGGGGGAGGACACTGATTGGAAGCAAGTAGAGGGATTGGCAGAGAGGGGTGGAGGACACTGATTGGAGGCCAGTGGAGGGATTGGCAGAGAGGGGTGGAGGACACTGATTGGAAGCCAGTGGAGGGATTGGCAGAGAGGGGTGGAGGACACTGAGTGGAGGCCAGTGGAGGGATTGGCAGAGAGGGATGGAGGACACTGAGTGGAGGCCAGTGGAGGGATTGGCAGAGAGGGGCGGAGGACACTGAGTGGAGGCCAGTGGAGGAATTGGCAGAGAGGGGCGGAGGACACTAAGTGGAGGCCAGTGGAGGGATTGGCAGAGAGGGGTGGAGGACACTGATTGGAGGCCAGTGGAGGGATTGGCTGAGAGGGGTGGAGGACACTGATTGGAGGCCAGTGGAGGGATTGGCAGAGAGGGGTGTGGAGGACACTGATTGGAGGCCAGTGGAGGGATTGGCAGAGAGGAGTAGCAGACACTGAATGGTTGGTAAGGTGGATGATCCTGGCAGCAGTATTCATGATGGACTGGAGGGGGGTGTGGCCTATGTAAAGGTAAGGCAATGAGGAGGGAGTTGCAGTAATCGAGACGAGAGATGACCAGGGAGTGAATTAGGAGCTTTGTGGTGTCATTAGTTAAAAAGGGGCGTATTCTGGAGATGTTGCGGAGGTTGAGGCGGTATGATTTGGACAGGGATTGGATGTGGGCCTGAAAGGATAGTTCAGAATCCAGGGTTACCCCTAGCACCCTGGCTACAACATAATCATACACATGAATGTGCTGTGGAGGTGTAGGAGTCCATAGGTCCAAAGAAATCCGTGGCAGTTTCTCAATGAGACTGAAGTAATCTTTACAATATATAAAGGAAACAGCAGAGGGCGGCAACTGTGTAGTATATGGGAAAAGACCTCAAAATCACAAGTGGCAACTCACAAAATGCATAAAGATAAGAGCATGTCATCCGCCCAGTGCGGTCAGCTGTTGACCTCAGTGTGTCTTCAGAAGCCAGGACGCAGATGCCGCTGTCAGGACCTGTGTAGGACACCAGAAACAAAACCGGGAATCCTTTAGCCACTGTGGAGTGCATGGACTGTGCAGGACCGGAAGTGATGTCACACCTGGGGGGGGGGGGCTACAGTTTGGGGTGCATGGCTGCATGTTTCGGAGCATAACTTCCTTTCTCAAGCCGGGCTTGAAGCTCGCGTTGTAGCTACGCTCCCCACGTGGCGGCCTCTCAGGTGTGACGTTACTTCCGGTCCTGTGCAGACCATGCACTCCAGGATTTCCAGGTTTGTTTCTGGTGTCCTACAGAGGTCCTGACAGCGGCATCTGCTTCCTGGCTCCTAGAGACACATGTAGTCATTTGTGCACACGGTTCAGTTTGCTTCTTCATGAATTTCTATCTGATGGTCACCAATGTCTGCATCTCCTTCCAATCCTGCACTCGCCCCTTCTGGGGGGTCATTATCATCGTCACTCACCGCTCTCCGCACAAACTCATCATGAATAGACGACTCTACGAACAGTCTTCCGGCTGCAATACAATCTCCCCCTTGTTGAAGAAGACGGAACTCATTCCCTACAGGAGAAGAGAGATAAAAGATTTGTAAATTAGTCACTATCATTGCATTATATATATATCAAAATTGTGATAAATAAATTAAACCACAAATAACACTGCAAGGTATTAGGGTTGCGCTATTATTTGTGGTTTTATTTGTTTATTTATCACAATTTTTGATATTAGTTGCAGTGGATTTATAATAGCAGCACCCATCATACTCCATATATCAACATTTATGCACATAGGCGCAATGATTTAATCTAAGTGGTGTTCTTGGAGTGATCTATTTTACACATCATTTAAAGGTTGAGTTATAAGGTTTATATATATAATTTTTTTTTTTTTTCATTTAGAATATATTTATTTCTATATTTATATATGTATGTATGTATTTATGTATGTATTATATTTCTAAGTATGTATGTATGTATAGTATATTTTTATATTTCTATGTATGTATGCATTATACAGTATATCTATCTATATCTGTACTATATATATATATATATATATATATATATATATATATATATATATATATATATATATATATATGCATATATTTAACATTTTATATTTATTATATATTATTGTATGTATTTAAGTATGTATAGTATATTTTTATATTTATATGTATGTATGAATGTATTATATTTCTATCTATGTATGTATTGTATATTTTTATATTTATATTTTCGTATTTATATGTATGAATGTTTACAGTATATCTATCTATGTCTGTGTATATATATATATATATATATATATATATACATACAGTGGGGATCGAAAGTTTGGGCACCCCAGCTAAAAATTTGTATTAAGCCAAGGAAAGATGGAAAAATCACCAAAAGGCATAAAAATTAAAGATTAGACATTCTTATAATATGTCATCAAAAGTTAGATTTTATTTCCATCATTTACACTTTCAAAATAACAGAAAACAAAAAAATGGCGTCTGCAAAAGTTTGGGCACCCTGCAGAATTTATAGCATGCACTGCCCCCTTTGCCAAGCTGAGACCTGCCAGTGTCATGGATTGTTCTCAATCATCGTCTGGGAAGACCAGGTGATGTCAATCTCAAAGGTTTTAAATGCCCGGACTCATCTGACCTTGCCCCAACAATCAGCACCATGGGTTCTTCTAAGCAGTTGTCTAGAAAACAGAAACTGAAAATAGTTGACGCTCACAAAGCTGGAGAAGGCTATAAGAAGATAGCAAAGCGTTTTCAGATGTCAATATCCTCTGTTCGGAATGTAATTAAGAAATGGCAGTCATCAGGAACAGTGGAAGTTAAAGCAAGATCTGGAAGACCAAGAAAAATATCAGACAGAACAGCTCGCAGGATTGTGAGAAAAACAATTCAAAACCCACGTTTGACTGCACGATCCCTCCAGAAAGATCTGGCAGACACTGGAGTTGTGGTACACTATTCCACTATAAAGAGATATTTGTACAAATATGGTCTTCATGGAAGAGTCATCAGAAGAAAACCTGTTCTACGTCCTCACCACAAAAATCATCGTTTGAACTTTGCAAATGAACATATAGACAAGCCTGATGCATTTTGGAAACAAGTTCTGTGGACCGATGAGGTTAAAATTGAACTTTTTGGCCGGAATGAGCAAAGGTACGTTTGGAGAAGAAGGGGCACAGAATTGAATGAAAAGAACCTCTGTCCAACTGTTAAGCATGGGGTTGGATCAATCGTGCTTTGGGGTTGTGTTGCAGCCAGTGGCACAGGGAACATCTCACGAGTAGAAGGAAAAATGGATTCAATAAAATTTCAGCAAATTTTGGATGGTAACTTGATGCCATCTGTGAAAAAGCTGAAGTTAAAGAGAGGATGGCTTCTACAAATGGATAATGATCCTAAACACACCTCGAAATCCACGGGGGATTACATCAAGAGGCGTAAACTGAAGGTTTTGCCACGGCCTTCACAATCTCCTGACCTCAACATAATTGAAAATCTATGGATAGACCTTAAAAGAGCAGTGCGTGACAGACAGCCCAGAAATCTCAAAGAACTGGAAGACTTTTGTAAGGAAGAATGGGCAAAGATACCTCAAACAAGAATTGAAAGACTCTTGGCTGGCTACAAAAAGCGTTTACAAGCTGTGATACTTGCCAAAGGGGGCAGTACAAGATATTAACTCTGCAGGGTGCCCAAACTTTTGCAGACGCCATTTTTTTTTTTCTGTTATTTTGAAAGTGTAAATGATGGAAATAAAATCTAACTTTTGTTGACATATTATAAGAATGTCTAATCTGTAATTTGATGCCTTTTGGAGATTTTCCATCTTTCCTTGGCTTCTTTATGCACATTAATACAATTTTTTAGCTGGGGTGCCCAAACTTTCGATCCCCACTGTATATATATATATATATACCTCCTAGATTGTAAGCTCCCAGGATCAGGCCCTCCTATCCCTCTTGTATTGAACTGTATTGTTGCCGTCTTGTCTCCCACTATAATGTAAAGTGCTGAGCAAACCGTTGGCGGTATATAAATCCTGAATAATAATATATATATATTTATTTATGCATATATTTAACATTTTATATTTATTATATATTATTGTATGTATTTAAGCATGTATAGTGTATTTTTATATTTATACTTTTGTATTTATATGTATGAATGTATACAGTATATCTATCTATATCTGTATATATATATATATATATATATATATACCTCCTAGATTGTAAGCTCCAAGGATCAGGCCCTCAAATCCCTCTTGTATCGAACTGTATTGCTATTTTTTGTCTCCCTCTATATTGTACTGTGCTGAGCAAACCGTTGGCGCTATATAAATCCTGTGTAATAATAAGATATATATTTATTTATGCATATATTTAACATTTTATATTTATTATATATTAATGTATGTATTTATTATGTATTATGTATGTATGTATGTGTCTGTATGTTTGTGTATTTACAGTATATATCAAAATATAAATAAATTGATGCAAATCGAAATCGAAATGTAAAACGAAATAAAATAAATAAATCTATACAAAAACAATAAGCCCTGGTTCACACTGGATCTGATTGGGATGGCAGTGCGACTTCGGGTGCAACTTCATAGACATCTGTGTGACTTCATCCACAGATGTCAATGCAAGTCACACCCAAAATTTGGAAAAGTAGTGCAGGAGCTACTTTTCTAAACAAAGTTGGAGTCGCACCGATTAGAACAGTTCTATTGCTGATCATTGCATGCGATTTATCATGTGATTTGAACGGTCAAATTGTATGACAATTCTGATCAGTGTGAACCAGGACTACCGTAAATGTACGTCTATGTGTAATGATGTAAATGGTTAGCTCTTCTGCCTGGCAGTACTCAGGTCGTTGATTCAAATCCCAAGCATGGCACCACCTGCCTGGAGTTTGCATGTTCTCCCTGTGCCTGCACAGGCCTTCTCTGGGTTCTCCGGTTTCCTCCCACACTCCAAAGACATGCTGGTAGGTGAATTGGATCCTGTGTAAATTGTCCCTAGTATGTGTATGTATGAATGTGAGTTAGGGACCTTAGATTGTACGCCCCTTGAGTGTTAGGGACCTTAGATTGTACGCCCCTTGAGGGTTAGGGACCTTAGATTGTACGCCCCTTGAGGGTTAGGGACTGATGTGAATGTACAATATATATGTAAAGTGCTGCGTAAATTGACGGCAAAAATAAATATATGAAAATCTAAAGAGATGAAGTACATGCAAATCTAAATTAAATTAAAAAATAAATACAGTTAACACATTTAAATCTAAATATACATCTAAATAAATACAACACAATAAACTAAATGCCATAAATAAATGTACATCTAAATGTAAACATGTATATATAAACATAGCAATGAATTATTTGCTCTTTTTTGGCTGTTCTACCAATATACCGATAAAAGCATTTTGTTATATCTATAAAAAAAAAAAATAGGAAATAAGATCCTGCCAGAAATCTTGTGAGCTAACAACTTCCTGTGTTCTCTGCATGTACTGATTGTTACCAGTTGCATTGCTCTCTCCCTCTCCTCTCTTTTTTCTCCCTCTCTCTCTCCGTCTCTCTCTCTCCCCCCATCTCTCTCTCTCTCCCCCCTCCTCGCTCTCTCTCTCCTGTCTCTCTGTCCTCTCACCCCTCCCTCTCTCTCTTTCTCTCTCTTCTCTCTCCTCTCACCCCCCTCTCTCCTCTCACCCCCTATCTCTCCTCTTGCTCTCTCTCCTCTCACCCCCCCCTCTCTCTTCTCTCTCTCCTCTCACCCCCCTCTCTCTCTCTCTCTCTTCTCTCTGTCTCCCCCTCTCTTTTTCTTCTCTCTCCTCTCTTTCTCTCTCTCCCCTCATCCCCTCTCTCTCCTCTCTTTCCTCTCTCTCCCCCTCTCTCTCTCCTCTCTCCTTTCACCCCCCCCCTCTCTCTCCGCTCACCCCCCCTCCCTCTCCTCTCACCCCCCCTCTCTCTCTCTGTCTCCTCTCTCTCTCTTTCTCTTCTCTCTCCTCTCTCTTCCTCTCTCCCCTCTCTCTCTCTCCTCTCTTTCTCTCTCTCCTCTCACCCCCCTCCTCTCTTTCGCTTCTCTCTCTCTACTACAGAACACCTCCCCTTATGTTATGATGGAGAGAAGAGGGGAAGATGTTCTATAGTCCTGTTCTAGAGTGACAACGTTTCTCTATAGATATTGTACAATTGGTGAGGGTTGTCACCCAAGAACAGGTAGTGTGTTACTGGTAGGATTATTTGGTAAATATAAAGGAAAAAAATGAAAAAAGAAAACTAATGCAGCCTCCATATGTAAGGACTGGTAAGCTGCAATATATTGCATTATTGATCTTGGGTTTCTGCACTATAGCAGCTGCTGAGATCCGATATCAGCCACACAGGGAGTGCTTGGCTTTTATCTTGTACAAGGAGCAGTGAAGTACAACCACCGTGTCACTGTGCAGGAAGCAGAGCCTGCAGGGGTAACGATCAAACATGGCTGCCGTGCTTATATATAGAACAATACACCACACACCTTACAATCCTTCTGTACAATTTCCTTTACATCTAAAAACAACAATGTATTGCACAGGTCTGCCTGATTGGATACAAATTGATTGGACAGTTTAGGTAGGTCCTCTGATTACCTAGATTTGGTAAATCTAAGATTGATTGTACAGAGATTGGTCCAGATTGTAAAGTGTATGGCGAGAGTAAAGTCTCACCATTCGGACGGCCTTGTCCAAGTCGCAGTCTGTGAAGATGATAAGGGGGGACTTCCCACCCAGCTCCAGGGATACTTTCTTCACATTGCTCACCGCACAGCTGGAGGAGAAGACAAAATATACTGGGTGCATATAGACATTATGTTGTGTAATGCAGGCCATACACAAGTCAAATTTTGTAGGAATTTTCTTTAGAAAATCGCAAATTTTGTGTGTTTTTGTAATCCGATGGTGCCAACATTGATGTCGAAATTTGACCAACTAAGCCTTTTACTGCTTTCCCACCGCCTTATAGCAGAAGTACTGCTACAGTGTGGCAGGGCTGCGCAAAATCATGTATACATATACAGTACGTGAATTACATTTCCAGGTAGGGAGCATGCGTGCTGCCCTATCCGCGCCGCTATTGGCGGCTAGGGATGTCAATCACTGGGTGCCGGCCGGCACTTGGCGATCGTCGGGTAAAGCTGACAGGGGAGAGACCTGTGTGTAAACAACACAATTCTCTCTCCTGTAAGCAAGGTCATGCTGCTTTGTATCTCTCTGCACAGCAGCATGTCTCCCTAGTAAAACACACACAGCACACAGTAAACCCTTTGATCGCCCACATGTTAATGCAGACCATACACGAGTCGAATTTTGTACGAATTTTCTTTAGAAAATCGCAAATGTTGTGCATTTTTTTGTAATCCGATGGTGCCAGCATTGATTTCGAAATTCGACCAACTAAGCCTTTAACTGCTTTCCCGCCGCCTTATAGCAGAAGTACTGCTACAGGGCGGCAGGGCTGCGCAAAATCGCGTATACAGATACAGTACCTGAATTACATTTCCAGGTAGGCAGCGTGCGTGCTGCCCTATCCGCGCCGCTATTGGCGGCTATGGATGTCAATCACCGGGTCCTGGCTGGTGATTCCCGGGCGGCACTTGGCGATCGTCGGGTAAAGCTGACAGGGGAGAGACTCTGTGTAAACAACACAATTCTCTCTCCTGTTAGCAAGGACATGCTGCTTTGTATCTCTCTGCACAGCAGCATGTCTCCCTAGTAAACCACACACAACACACAGTTAACCCTTTGATTGTCACACATGTTAACCCTTCCTGCCCAGTGCCATTAGTACAGTGTCAGTGCTTTTTATGAGCACTGATCACTGTATTGGTGTCACTGGGGCTGTCACTGGCAGTTAGTCAGTCCCCCCCCCCCCCCCCCCCATTTGTGCAGTGTGTGCTCTGGTGCATGACTGTTTTCTGCATTTGGTGGGCCATTCATTGTTAATGGCACCCCAAACGCAATAGGCAGTCATGCACCAGAGCACACACTGCGAAAACAGGCGAGGCTCACTGCAAAATGAAGAATTAATGTCAAGTGTGATGCCCCTATTGGCACATTTGTTGCAGATGCTACCAAACATTGCATACCCATGCAGGATCCAATCTAAGTTAGGTACCAGGGGCGGACCGACAACTCATGGGGCCCCCGGGGCAATAGGGAATCATGGGGCCCCTATGTCCTTGCCCACACTCAAACAAAGTTAATAAAAAGTACCAGGGGCATTTCATGGGGCCCCCTTTTGACCCCGGGCCCTCAGGCAGTGCCCGAGAATTCGAATGGTCAGTCTGGCCCTGTTAGGTACCTTTTTCAACAACAACAAGAAAAGCGCCAATTGACTACAAGCAACCAGTCAGTATTCGATTGCAGTAAACAATAGTATAGTATACGAGGTGGTATCCAAAAGGTTCAAGACTAGTTTTGTAACACGACAACAGATGGCAGCACACACAGTCAAAGGGAGCACCAACCTTCATAAGTCAGTGTGCCAAACGACATCGTCCTGTGCAGGGGTGGACTGACAACTGATGGGGCCCTCGGGCAATAGGGGATCATGGGGCCCCTGTGTCCTTGCCCAAACTCAAAAAAGCCTATGAAAAAGGTACCAGGGGCATCTCATGGGGCCCCCTACTGACCCTGGGCCCTCGGACAGTGCCCAAGTTTCCAAATGGTCAGTCCGCCCCTGATCCTGTGTACATTGGGAGTTGTGCAACTGGTGCTTTTCGGACCACGTGCCTTACCATGTCTGCTATTTTATCATGGACAGCAAGCTAGAACAAAGAGCAAAATGTGAAATTCTGCATGAAACTGGGCAAATCTGCCACAGAGATGCTTGACGTGATTCAGTAAGTTTTACGGTGATGCCGCATGTCGTTCGAGGTGTTTTGAGCGGCACGCACACTTCAAGAGCGGAAGAACATCACTGGACAATGACGAGAGATCAGGAAGACCTTCAAAGAGCTCAACCCTCCAAAGATGAAGATCCAGCTTGTTTTCACAACGATCCAGTTTTCACGCAGAATTTCACGTTTGCTTTTTGTTCCTGCCTCATATATTGTCTATACTATTACAGCCCCTCCCCCCTCACTTACCTTTTCATGATCTGCTTGCCTATAGGGGTGGAGCCAGTGAACCCCAATTTCCTGACATCGGGGTGGTCGGAAAGTCGCTGTCCAATCAGAGACCCTACAAAGAGCAGAAATATTTATTTAAATAATGACTACATAAATAAATGGACTGATGATTCCCTTGGCTGGTTTCCCAATAGTCCCTTTTTCAGGGTCGGTTCACACATGCGGCTGAGTCGTGGATTCACCACCCCCAACTGCCCCCTGAACACAGACATGCAGCCACTCATAGCTGTGCACATGCTGTGGCTGTGATGGCGTGCTCAATACCACCAAAAGAAAAGCTCTATCTGTCTCAAAAAAATTATAAAAATTTCCTTTGGGTAAAGTGTTGCATGACTGCGCAATTGTCATTCAAGGTGCAACAGAGCTGAAAGCTGAAAATTGGCCTGGGTAGGAAGGGGATAAAAGTGCCCGGTAGACAAGTGTAAAAAAAAAACTATCACTTTAAAAGCTGATCATTTTAATCACTCCTGTCAGTGGTAAATGGTTTGTCTCATCTATGTAAACTAATACATTCTGCTGGAGAGCTTGAACTTATGAAAAAAAGCAGACTTGCTGGCTTAATAAAAGATGAAAATAGAAATCCTAAAAAAAGAAAATGAATGCAGCCATCACATCTAGGAATTGGTAAGCTGCGACATACAATAAATGTTTGCTTTTGGGAATTTTAATACCACTTTAAGGATCCTGCTCCTGCACCATTCCTGCTCCTGCACCATTCCTGCTCCTGTCCATTCCTGCTCCTGCACCATTCCTGCTCCTGTATCCAAGTGCTCTTTTGCAAACCATTCCTGCTCCTGTCCATTCCTGCTCCTGCACCATTCCTGCTCCTGTCCATTCCTGCTCCTGCACCATTCCTGCTCCTGTCCATTCCTGCTCCTGCACCATTCCTGCTCCTGCACCATTCCTACTCCTGCACCATTCCTGCTCCTGTACCATTCCTGCTCCTGTACCATTCCTGCTCCTGCACCATTCCTGCTCCTGCACCATTCCTGCTCCTGTACCATTCCTGCTCCTGCACCATTCCTACTCCTGCACCATTCCTGCTCCTGTACCATTCCTGCTCCTGTCCATCCTCCTGCTCCTGCACCATTCCTGCTCCTGCACCATTCCTGCTCCTGTACCATTCCTCCTCCTGCACCATTCCTACTCCTGCACCATTCCTGCTCCTGTACCATTCCTGCTCCTGTACCATTCCTGCTCCTGTCCATTCCTGCTCCTGCACCATTCCTGCTCCTGTCCATTCCTGCTCCTGTCCATTCCTGCTCCTGCACCATTCCTGCTCCTGCACCATTCCTGCTCCTGCACCTTTCCTGCTCCTGTACCATTCCTGCTCCTGCACCATTCCTGCTCTCCCCCAAAGTAAGGATTGGGGTTTGTTGGTAAGTTATACAGAACACATACCGGCTCCTGGTAAGATATTCACAACTCCTTTGGGGAATCCGGCTTTTACTGTCAGCTCTGCGAACTTCAGCGCCGTTAGCGGGGTCACCTGCAGCAAATGAGGGGGAAAGGTCATGTGACCTGAATACAGCTAGCGATATGCAATGCTGGATACAAAATAACATATTTATTTCTTGCTGATAATATTAAAGCCCTGGTTCACAGCTGTGCGACTTCAGGTGCGACATTCTAAGGATTGGCACCTTTGGGGAGCGGGTACCCGAATTTGCCAGATACCCTCTCCCACTTCCGCCGAGATTGCCTAGGCGGACGTTGTTCTCCCCCCCCCCCCTCTCCCTGTAGTCTTCTGGGTCACGTGACAGGTCCCAGAAGACTAAGGGGCAAATCACAAAGCGCAGCGCTTCTCGCACATGTGCAGTGGGCACCCGGCTGTGAAGCCGCAAGCTGTCACAGCCGGGTGCCCACACTGAAGATGGCGGCGCCGGGGAGAGAAGACGGCCGGTGAAACCAGCCGTGGTGAGGACAGGTGAGTGTCTGTATTTTAAAAGTCAGCAGCTACAGTTTTTGTACCTGCTGACTTTAATTTTTTTTTTCAGGTGGAACTCAGCTTTAAGGATAAAGCACTAGGCGGGAGCGCCCTCTGTTCTGTTTTATGGTCACACAGGTAGTCTCACCTGGGCGGGCTTCAGGACCACTGTGTTCCCCGCGGCGAGGCAGGCGGCGGTCTTCCAGGCCAACATCATGAGTGGGTAGTTCCACGGGATGATGATTCCGCACACGCTGTCAGTTCAGGGTACAGAATGGAATTAAAGTGAATTTATTATCATTTTTTGTATGATTTTCCATCGTTGTGCTGATAACACTGTTCAACAAATTTTTATTTTTTGCCAGTTTTGGAAACAAAAGGATCCATTTCTTAATGAATTTTACATTCTGAGTTCAAATATAACAATGAAATTTGTCAATTGGCTCTAGTTTTTCTGTAAACGGAAAGTTTTCTACTATAGGCGTAATGACTACATAATGCACAATAATTATATAGATAGATGTCTTTCCACAAATATAAAGCAAGTGATATTGACTACATAACAAAGCCTAAATGGCATAATATATTGCATAGGATTACCAAGAAAAATTATAGCCATAAGCTAAGTTGAATCATTTTAATACTTAGGATTCTCACTAGTTTTGTCTTCAGTTTGTGTCGGTTTTGCTTCTCTTGGCTTTTCTCTTGTATTCGAGGAAAGGGCTATCTCTTACAACTGCACGTGACTACACGCTTCAGGTTCTTCCTCACTTGACTCAACCACGAAGGATTCTGGTGCTTTAGGAATTGGTAGCCCCTCTCCATGAGGAACTGGACGTATTGCCGATGGAATATTTGGATAGTGCACAGATAACTTTTTCTTCTTATTTAGCCCTTTTACAATTGGAGGCACCATACAAAAGTAACAATTACTAACATGATATGTTGGCTCTCTCCAAATCATTGGCACAGCGAAAGGCATAGATGCCTTTTTTCCATTCAACCATTGCTCCAGTGCCGTCCCACAAGAATTGCAGCATATACTGTATGTGGTGCCCAGTTCTTGTCCTGGTCTCCTATCTTGCAGCCAAAATACAAGTTGTAGGCTTTCTTAATCATTCCTGTTATCCTCCTTTTTTGTGAGATAAAAGTTATTTCACCGCAGATATAGCAGAAATTATCCGCTTTATTCACACAAGTTCGAGGCATTACTGAGTAGCCTATATAAGCATAAAACGAAATGTAAAGACGCTGTCGAACTACAATCAGCTACAGATACTGCAGCTTTTATGCAGTGAAGTGATGCAATTAAAGGCTAATATTGCATCATCTCAGTATACATGCAATTTTCTATTGGTCACCAGTATCAATTGCGCAATATGCAGCTGAAGTTGCATCATAATTTTGAATGGCTTACGTCATTAGATGGGTGAATATATCATGGAAACTAGAGCCAATCAACATTTTTTAGGGTCATTTTCGTTTTCAGCACCCCAAAATTATGTAAGATTAGCTAATTTTATGCCCAAAACTTTTTTACCTGTTGAACAGTGTAATCGTCACATCTTAGGGATTCAGCATTTTCATTATTACAGATAAATATTTTTTGTCTTTGTGTATCATTGCAGAGCTCCCTGTGCAAATCATTCTACGCCAGCCGTGACGGCTACATGAATATTACACTCACCCGATTGGCTCTCTCCGGGTGAATGTCAGGTTCCGGTTTGGACGTGCTTGATTTATGGGAATGGTGGAGCCCTGAAAGACATACAAGTCATCACAACGTAACTACCTGCAGTTATATCTGACCTTCAGCCTTCCCCTCAGTCTTATTTATTTCAGGTACTTATATAGTGCCGTCCATTTACGCAGCACTTTACATATATATTGTACATCCACATCAGTCCCTAACCCTCAAGGGGTGTACAATCTAAGGTCCCTAACCCCCTCAAGGGGTGTACAATCTAAGGTCCCTAACCCCCTAACCCTCAAGGGGCGTACAATCTAAGGTCCCTAACTCACATTCATACATACACATACTAGGGACAATTTAGACAGGAGCCAATTCCCCTGCCAGCATGTCTTTGGAGTGTGGGAGGAAACCGGAGTACCCGGAGGAAACCCACGCAGGCACAGGGAGAACATGCAAACTCCAGGCAGGTTGAGCTGTGCTTGGGATTCGAACCAACAATCCAGTTCCGGATCCTCTCCTGGACTGCAATGGCTTACTCTGATGTCACCGCACACTATGCGCTTCTCACAATGTGCATTAGAAGCTGCAGCAAGTCAGATAGAGCTCCACCTCATTTCTTGGCTGGAGGACGTCCAGCATCATCAGGAGCATTCCTCCTCAGACTGACTGTCCCTGGCCCGCCCCAATCTTTCATTGGGTTTCAGTTCTTTCAATCATGGCCACCTACGACAGGGCCATCCACTAAGCAGATTTTGTACAGTGTATAACCAGCATTTTTTTTCAGAAAAAGTGACAGTTGTTTTCCAAAGGTCCAATAAAATGTGATGATTACAGTCACATGGTTGAAAATAAAGATACCTATTCTTGTGTAAAGCTTTGTGAATTGCACCTATAATATCATAAAAATACATTTCGTCAGTAACTGTCAGCTGTGCACACATTTGCAAGCCATGGTAAGCTAGGGAAGCAAAAAGGGGTAAGGATTCTACTGCCCCCTCTGAGCCCACCTAACCCCCCCCCCCCCCCTCGTTCCCCATTGTCCTGGCCTCAGGGCTCTTAAAGGGAAAAGACATGGGGAACCGTGCATACATTACAAGGATGTACTGCCGATTTTTGATCATTTATTTTGCTCTGACATACACTTAAAATATTATTCCTGCCCCCCTGGTGGTAAAATCTGGTGTCACAAGCAGACCATAAAATAAAATAGTCTCGATTTACAAAGTCCTTTTTTTCCCAACGGTGACAGTTCTTTCCAGCTAAATGTAATGAGATTTGAGAAAAAAAAATCAACAACTCACCTGAATTTTATCGCACCAGCCAGCAAAGTAGCGGAAAGTTTGGATGGACATCCCAACATGGGTCTTCAGAGCTAATGTGTACACTGCGCCCGAGTCTATGGATTCAATAGTGGCCAGCTCTTCCTGGTGTTCCTCCATGAGGTCAGCCAGCCTGGAGAGTGACACAGAGATCATCATTAAAACAAACTTTTACCAAAGAATAAGTGCAAATTTACTATTACCAACTAGAAGTCCTAAAGGTCTATGGGCCAGCAGGAAGAAAGGGGGCCTAGACATCAGGAACTGCACAGGTTGGAGGTACTAACCAGAATGGGTAGCAAATTGTACATTTTAGTCAGGTGATGCAAGGTTTTACCATTATAGATTCAAAATTCCCTTTAAAGTGGTTGTAAACCTCAAAAATGAAAAAAGAACAAAGCTTATCCCTCTATAGTGTGTACGTGTCTCAGTCCAGAGCACTAAGTGTCATTTCTGTCTGCTGCTTCATTCCTCTGCTATCAGCCATGAAAAATTTCATGATAAACAGTGATTTTGTAAGCAAAAATTCATCCACTTAGGGTTTACATAAATGTGGGGTTAGCATTTAAAGTGGTTGTAAACCTCAGACATGAAATATGAACAAAGCATTTTCTTCTACAGTGTGTACTTGTCTCAATCCAGAGCACTAAGTGTCCTTTCCGTCTGCTGCCTCTTTCCTGTTATCAGCATGAGTCACTTCTGACAAGTTTTTCTGACACCAAGAAAAAAATGGTGACAGGGGAGGGACCTTCAGCAGATTGACAGCCTCAGTTCTGTTCCTGTGTGCTGTGTGGAGGGGGGGGGGGGGTGTCCCTTCCCTCCAATCAGCTGTCAGAATTCTCCTCACTGAGCTCTGCAGTGTGTAATTACAGCTCTCAGCCCCCTGCTTTCTAAACTCTCAGACAAGCTGTATAAATTATGCACTTTGAATGGATGTAGAGAAGAGAATACTTCAGATAAACAGGTACAACTTATGTAGAAGGATTTGTTTTATCTCTGTGTATCACCTGAGGATAGTCCCTTCACTGGCTATATATAAGAGTTTACAACCACTTTTAAGGCTTTACATAGTATTGGTTTCTTGCAGATTCATGCATAATGTAATCTCTAATAAACGTCTCTTATTTGCTCCCTTTTGGTCTGTTAAAAATACAATTGAAAGTGTTTCTTATTTGAAAGGAACAAAAATGACCTATTGATCCTGCCAGAAATATTTATATTTATTTCTTATCTTATCAACACTGCCTAGTTCACCTCTGTAGAAAAGAGACCCCCCCCCCCCCCCCGGTATGGCGAATAGGAGATAGGAAGGTGTTCTGTAGTCTTAGCATGTTTCCTGTCCATGGGTGATAACGTTGCTTCTCCATAGATACAGAACAGTGAGTGAGTGTTGTCACCCGAGGGAAAGAAGTACATTTCTGGCAAGATCACCAAATGTAAATATAGGGGAAAAAAACCTGAAAAAGAAAAGAAAACGAATGCAGCCACCACATCTAAGGACTGGTAAGCTGCAATACACTAAACTTTTCTTGGGGCTAGATATACTTTTAACATGTATTGTTCTGTTTTGCACTATGGAAAAAAGAAGGAGAATTAAGGTGTCCATCACCAGTAGAATTTCATTGGGAAAAATATGTTTTCAGAATGTTTATTCAACTTAACGGAGTAATATCCATGATCATAGTCAACCAATGTACTGAGGATAACTGAAGGAGAAAGACGCAAAATCTTTGTGGTTTTAATTCTGGAAAAAATGTGTTTGCATGGCAGTTGAAAAAAAAATTTCAGGGTTTTCATATTGTTTGAGGTGATTGTAGCCATATTAGTGCATTTGTGACAGAAACAATTGAGTACTGTCCGTGATACTTGCTTAGACCTTGAAGAAGGGGACATTCCCCGAAAGCTTGTCCTCAAAATTGTATGTTAGTGCAAATAAAAAAAGTATCACGGACAGTACTCAAGGGTTTTCATATGAACTTTGTTGAGTCCATAATGGTGCTATTGCTTGCTGTGATTAGTGATTTTTCAGAGTTTCCATATGAATGTTTGATCCCAAGTCTACTGATGTATGGCCAGTGTTAGAAACTTACAATCAAAGAGGCCAAAAGGCAAAGAAAAAAAAACCTCAACAACAAATCTTTTCCATCGAGGAAGTCCATATAGAAATTACACTCTTCACAGTACTCGACCTTAAAATAATTTCTGGGTAATTGAAGTAATTGTTATGGATGGTGCCACGCCAAAACTAGTTAGTCATAAGAAACCAACATTTCGAGGGCTCACAGGGTTTATAACCACCATGTCACCTTAAGGAAGGGACTCGAAGCATTGGTTTCTTATGACTTTTAGATGATATTGTCACAATAAATATTGTTAATGGATGAGATCTGTCAAAGGAGAAGTACCACCATAAATCAGAATGTACTTCCAGAAGAAAAAACCTAATTTTTGGCTCCTACTAGACTTGAACCTCACACCAACTCCTACCAGGCAGCAAATAGCTGCAATGGCTTGTGGTGGTGTTGGACTGCAGATTCTCTTATAGTATAACCAAGAGATCAGCTTTTGTTGGGTTATGACAGGTTGTGACTTTTAATCCTCATCATTAGTACACCAACGTTAAAGTGCCTCAACAATAGCCGGCAGGGAGAAACCATCCAGAGACTGCTCATTATCTTCCTCATCTTGCATAAACTTCACCATCAGTGCTCCTTTTCGGACTGTTAGACCTACAGAAGTCCTGCGGGCAGACTTGGACCTAGCATGGTCACCCCAGTGCACTAATGGGCAGTATAACTCTGGGGGTTTAGAATTATCCACTGTTTAAACTGCCCTTGTTGCACCTTCGGTGATCCTATTACTGTTTAAGCTGACTTTGGTTGATAGTGAGGGAATAGCCCCAAGTGTCATTTCTAATTATTGCACATATGTGATTTTTTACCCCTCGTTGCACATTAGAATGTACCTCCAGAAGAAAATTGAATTTATGGGTCCTGTTGGAATTGACCCTCAATTCAACCCTCACCAGGTAGCAAATAGCAGCAATGGCTTGTTATCCATGGGGCTTGTTATCCATGGTGTTGGATGGCAGGTTCTCTTATAGTATAACCAACAGACTGGCACTGCTAAAGTTGGAGCTGACCCTCACCTGTAAATCAGACGACCCCGGTCCCTTGGGTTCATCTTGCCCCATTCTCCATTCTCAAAGGCTTCCTTGGCAGAAGATACAGCTTTATCGATGTCTGACAGCTGGGCCAGTGACACTTTGCAGATGGCCTATGAAGAGAACACCCGTGAGGCTACCAGTAAAAACACATTTCATGCTTGTGCTGAAAGGAGATCATACTTACACTGCCATCAGTGGGGTTAATGGTGTCATAGGTTTTTCCTGCCTCTGCATCCACGAATTGGCCATTGATGAACAGGTGATGAGGAATTCTGATTTTCATATTGTTCACGTCCTTCTCCACCTGAAATAACAGAGGTTTGGCATGAACATCAGGTGAAAGGTCATGTTAGCATGAAGGCTCATACACATAAACGTACACATGTTTTCAAGCATGGAAGCCTAATGTGCCACAGTGTGCATGTGTATGCGCATAAGAACAGAATGCATGGGTACTTCCACCACAGATTCTGGCACCTAGTGGGCTATTTAAACCTGGGCCCTTGCATGAGATCATTGCTGAATGCTCCTTCAGCTTGAGTTCCTGCCAGGGCTTTTTTTCTTAGGGAATAGGTGCAGGAACTACCCCCCTTCTGAGTCACCCCTTGTCTCCGCCCCCTACCCACCTCCGAGCACCATCCTTTAGGATCCACCCCTTACCCATCTCCTAGTATCACCTCTTTTAGAGAATACAGAAGCAAGTATCATTTTGCGGTGCTAAATATTTTGTATGAAATGTATTAATGATAACAAGAAAAGCGGTAAAATAGTTCCCCTACAGACACAATGTTAGACACCCCCTTTTCCCACAGCAAAGATAAATTCCCCAAGCAATGATAGACCCCATCCCAGCAACAATAGACTCTTTGCAACAAATGACTGCCCCAGCAACAATAGATCCTCCCTAGCAATAAAATACCCTCTATCAGTAAGCAACAATAGACCCTGCCCTCAACTGTAGACTCCTCCCAGCAATAATTGACGCCCTAATAACGTAAGATCCCCACAGCAACAATAAGTCCCCCAACAGCAACAATATACCTTTACAGTAACAATAGACCCATCCATGGCCCCAGCAGTAACAATAGACCCCCTCCATGATCCCCCAGCAGCAACAACAGACCTCTCCAGTAACTACAGACTGCTCCTTCCCCAGAGACAATAGATCCCTCAGCAGCCAGCATCAATAAACCCTCCAGCACACCCCAGCACCCTTTTCCACTACATACATTCAGTGCTGGAGGTGCCGAAAATGCGTTCCCTTACTTTCCCACTGAAAAAAGCACTGGTTCCTGATATTCCTGATCCTGAACCTGCTTGACTCCCCCCTCGACCTTTTGTTTATTCCTTGCCTGTGCCTATCTTGCCTATCTTTCTTATCGACCTCGTCCAAGACTCTTGACCAAGATTTTGCCTTGCTGGCAGCATGATGCCAACCTCTGCTCCTCCTTGACCTTGTTGCTGCTCATGATTTGGTGCCCTACAACTCGGCTCTTACCAAACTTGGCTTGTGACCTGGTTCTGATCTAAACTGGACTTGGTGTAATCTGGATGCCCTTAGCGCTGCGCTTCTGATTACTTGACAACAGTGCTCCTAAGCCCAAGTCTTTGGTTCCATCTTCCTGGCACCTGTGCCCTTCCATTGCCCTTGAGGCCCCTGTCCCAACTTCCAGGGATGGGAATTGTGCAAGAGGCCACCCCGTCATCTCAAGCTCCTCATACAAGTACGGGACAAGGATGTTTGTAAAAACCCAACTTATTTAGAGATTATTACAAATTCTCCAAGACTTATAACAAGCAAGGAGTTGACCCAAAGCCCAGATGAACTTTCAATTAAAATGAAATACTTTCTAGGTGCATCAAAACAAAAGATGTCCTAAGTCTTACAGTAAATTGCCTTAAAAAATAGCCACAGCATGTGTAAAAATGCTTGCCCTCTGCCAGAAACTGCAGAGAAGAATCCTTTCTCTCTGTGGGGAAGCAAAGTCTCTCTGCATAGCCCCCCTGCTGAGCCAAAACTAGAGTTCTCCAACCAGCAGGAGACATGAGTTTTTCTGATTGCAGAGGTATGGGTCTGGGCAGGGGGTGTGTCTCTTCAGAGAGACTTCTGCTTCCACAGAGAGCCTAATTACAGGCAGATCTTATTTTTAGGGTTTTTTTAGGCAAGATAGTCTCTGTAAACCAGCTTTGCATGCTTACATAATCTATGACTTGCGTCTCCTCTGCATCCTCCCCTCTGAGCCGTCTAACGAGCATTTGAATGAATTCCTCAAACTTTGTGGCCATGTAGACATCCTCGTTCTGTAGCTGTAACCCATTACACTTCAGCTTCACCTCTTCCACCAACCTAATGATAAATAGAGAGATTGGCGCACCAAACAGATAGAAGCAAATGCACAATTTTCTCAATTGTAGATGTAAACTGGAAGTGGCTGTAATAATAGTAGAGACCATGCTTGTATAAACACAAGTGCCTGGTGCTTCAATGCAACTGGCCCCTAAATTAGGCACTCTGCCCTGTGCTGCCCAATCAGGGACAAATGCTTCCAAACCGGTTGGTGGAAACAGCCCCCTTCCACCAGTATGAGGCCTGGGCAGCCCCCTTTTAACATATTCCTATCTGCCATTCTCATATTTTGCCTGCCCTGATTCCTCCCACCCACTTCCTCCACATGGTAATGAAGATTTGAATAAAAGCTTTCCATTTTCCTTAGCCACCATATTTTAAACCCAATGACATACATAGCTTTCTGAAAAACATCACAGCACCCTGCCTTAGTGCTCCTCGGTCCTGATGCAAGCAGTTGGACCTTTGGTGGAGTTATGCAAATATCAAATTGCTTTGATGCATGGAGATCAGTCTGCTGTGCTAACTTTGGCAGATGATAAATCCCACTTTCAATGTAAAGAGATGCTGCTCAGTATATCCTTTCTGTCCAGGGCTTCAGGTAGGGCTTGGTAGCCTGAATGATGTTCTACATACTGTAATTTACTATTAACTACCTAAAACCATGTGTATACTGTATATGTTCTTTCTAATTCACTATGTTTAGTACTTATTTTTGACATTTTGTTTTCACCCAACTTAGATATAAAATAGTTTTATATGAACAGTAAGCATTTTCATCCAGGGCATAGCGACTGTAATGGCAATGCTCGGTGCAATAACTAAAAGCAAGTCATATACACACACGCAATTGACAGATAGTCACACACAGGTACTTTTAATCAGCATTTACACCATTACATATGCTACGTATGTGAAAGACCCTCTACTAAATGAATACCTGCCCTGGCACATCATAGCATTCACTCGGCTCTCCAAGAAATAACAGAATCCAACTGCAATATTCTTGCACTGTCAAAACCTCCACTTTTATTATCACACGACACACAGGAGGATATATCTTATAGTCATCACAATCTGCATAATAACACACCAATAATAATGTGAGTATTACAGCATGAAATCGACACATCATTTGACAGCATCACAACATAGAATTAATACATCACCAAAACTATGTGGAAGCGGGAAGGAACAAATCCCATCACAACCATACTGCCCAAGGGGTCACGGGGAAGCCGGAAGCGCCAACCAATTGATGAGCCCATATAGCCTTGACAAGAGTCCCAGCATCAGAGAATCCTCAGGCAACTAGGAGAGCTTCCCAATCAATCCTGCTTAAACACCTGGCTTCTAAACCATTTTTCTGGCAGCTTTCCATAAGTGGGCGGGCACCACACCCACCCAGGAGGAGCAAGCAGAAATGTTCCATAAGGATAACAGAGTCACGCTCAGCCACCATATGGAGTCCACATTGTTATCTGAAAAGTCACACTTTTGCTTCAGATCAGCTTCTTATCTACCCTAAACTTCTTCTCATCTACCCTAAACTTCTCTAAACTTAAAAATTTCTAACTTCTCCAGAAAGTAGACATCCTTAAACAGGTTCTTATCTTCTATTGTGACATTACTAGATGTCGTAAACATGTTCAATCCCACAAACAAGTTTTTATCTTGCGCTAAGCAGAATATCTTGTGACTCTGATGATGACTCTGTTCCTTTAGCCTAGAGAAATTACATCAGTCACTTTTCGTGCTCCTGGCTTTTGGGCAACAATGCTTTATTGTAAAAATTACCCAAGAAACAAAGGGTCCAAGGCCAACACATTTCATAGGCATTACAGCGACCTAAAAGCTACAGCTGGCTAAAAGTTCAGATAAAAGCTAAATAGCAGTGAGATTACACTAGAAAGACTCCAAAATGCCTCACAGATTGGGGACACCCTGCTACACACGGAGTTCTTCCAAGAATGCAGGCAATGCTAGATTTTCCTATTAGGAAGCCTAGCATTGCTTGTAGTGTTGTGAAGGTACCATTTTAACAACAAATTTAGGGTAGTAGGGAGCGCAACATTTATAGATATATAATTAGTTTGCACAGTTTGAGTTATGTGTTAAATGTTGGCGATCCATAGAGGTACACTGTTAGATTTTGGCTCGCAAGTTATACATACACAAAAAAAATAAATATTTACTTTATAAAATTGGAGATTGAATACAGAAAATTTCAAAAAATTGTATAAAACACCCATTTACAAACTTCTATACTTCTTTAAAAAATTCAACACCAAAATGAATGACTTTACTTTTTGTTATTATCGTTGAGGCTCAGTTCTATCTTCTGGTTTTTATGGCATTCCCAGTATACATTTACCCTCAGGTTCTTTAATTGTATGGACATTACTAACACTTGATTCCTATATTATTTTATGATAAAAGGGCCGAGGTTGTACCTATACTATGCTCTGCAACAATGTTGTCTGTTGTGAACGCTTGTACACTCAAGTAACATATAATGGGTGTGGATTGTCTCTTTTTTTTCAAGACACGCATACTCTTGAATTTCTTTAGTGTTCTGTTCAATAAACTTTATTGATGATTAAAAAAAAAAAAAATATATATATATATATAAATATATATATATCATCAACTAACCTTACAACATCCATG